TCTCTCTCCCTCTTCCCCTATTCCTTCAAACTCTTTTACCCTTACCTCTTCCCTCACTCCTTCCCCTCCACGGCATGTGACTAACCTCCACGCTCGCCTGTTACATTGCCAGGGGAGGAACGGAAAAGAACTTGGTCCTCACTTGGTGGAAAGCGAGGGCAAGGGAAGGACTGCCGGTCCCTTGTGCCACCAGGAAGGAAAGGATACCAGGATGTTGGGAACATCTGTGAAGGCGGAAAGGAGTGCTGTTTTTGTAACAAGGTCAGTTTGACTCAACCATCTTCCCCGACTGCATGACTAAGGTGAAGGCATGGTTTTGCTTGAGGGAAGAGGAAAGGCAACCCAAGTAACAACAAAGGCAAAGGAAACTTAGGCATGTGGGAAGGGGCGATGTGTTGACCTCAATGGGGATTGCATTTGGTCTTTGCTCGCGTGGTCTTGTGCAGATGAGTATCCAGGACGGGTTGAGCAGGATGGGATCCGCAGAAAACACGAGCAAGGATGGAGGAACGGGATAAGGGAAGAGTTTAGACTTAGCCTAACTATGAATGCGGGAAGTGATTGAGGATTGGATGCTTGGATGAATGGCGGATGACGCGGTATGGGTTGCATGGTGATTGAGTGGGATGACTCTCTCGTATGCAATACCAGGCCCGGAAAGACTAAGGGCAGCTCCGGATAGGTGAATGCGACGCTAGCGACTCGAGCAAAATATAAAATATATCGGCTAGGGGTCCGAGCGGTGCCACTCCACCCCGAGGATGCCTCAGGGGCGGTCTTGAGTCGCTGGGCTTATTGAAAAGGTGTGTGGTCCAATGGATGACGCTTGGCCTACACACGAAATGAAGATAAACTCCCAATGAATCCCCTAGATTGCCTGCGTATTGGAAGGAGCAATTGCCTGGTCAGACGAAAAAGAATCAAGCAAACGCCACGAGTGCCTAAAGAGCTACCATCGAGAGCGGAGCTACATCCCCCAATGTAAAGCCCTCTCGCAAAAGGCCCATCCCCATCCATCTCAAAGGACTAGGTGGGGATGCCCCTGGGTCGAACGACCCGCGCCCTGAGCGTGAGCGTGGGCGGGTTGAGCCAAATGGGACCCGCAGTGGGGTCGACTCAGGCTCGAAAGTCCTTCCGGGTACGGCCCCTACACCGTTTTCAGAAAAACGAAGACCACCACCCACAAACGGGTGCTGGAGGGCAACAACAGGGCGGAGGGAAACGCACCACTCTGGGCTGCGGCCCCCTCATCCCTCTCTCTCTCTCTCTAAACGGGTGCTGGAGGGCAACAACAGGGCGGAGGGAAATGCACAGGCCCGCTCGGAATGCTCTCTAATTCCCTTTCATTTTAGGCTATCGATGCTCTCCAAGTGGGAAGCGAGGGAAGCCACGACCACGGACCCCACCACTCTCCGAAATGGAAGGTGTTGAGGTCGTGAGGAATCCAATGATGCTCAGGCGGGCGTGCCCTCGGCAGAAGCCTTGGGCACCACGTGCGTTCAAGGTATCGATGGCTCACAGATTTCTGCAATTCGCATTCAGTATCGCATTTCGCTGCGCTCTTCATCGTTGCGAGGGCCAAGATATTCGTTTGCCGAGAGTTTTATAATATGGTGCCGTTCCGACAGGACCGACCCCTCAACCAGAACAGAAAGGGGCCGTCAACCCGGACAACGACAAATCAGAGCAGGTACATCAATAAGAAGTTGCAAAGTCATCGCCACCGGCCGCTGCCACGGTGTCGGAGGGTGCGGTGTCCCGGCCCTCCTCTGTGTACCAAGTCCCTGCCTGGTACCGGTCTCTTGCTCTGGTATTGCAGCCAGTAGTCATCTCCATGATCCTTAGAGCCCGGGCTGTACCCTGGTGTGGACCGGTCCTGTCGGTGCATGCCCTTAGCAAAAAGGGTGCGCCACAGGGCTTTCCATTGGTCCACGCAGGCTCGGCGCCCTGCTGTACAGCAGAGCACAACTGGCTTGTGGCCGTGGTAGCCGCCGGGTTCGCCCTGGGACGCGGAGGTGAGAAGACTGGCGCAGTCTTTTCTAGTGCGCGCCGAGTGCCCTTCTACTGAGTCATGGGTCAGGTACACAGACCAATGGTCACTGTCATAAAAAGACAAGGCTAAGAGAATGAAAGTAAAAGCGGAAATGCGAAAAGGAAAAATAGATGAACAGTTGAGAGTCTAGTCTATGTGAAGTGAAGGCTGCTAATCGAGAAAACTCTATGTTCCATAGTCGTTCGTCGTTAAAAGTTGTTATTTATTATTATTACTATTATTATTATTATATCTCCATCAGCTGATATCTGACGCGGTGCCTCTCTTTTTAACCCGTCACCTCGCGGGGAGGCCAACGGTTCGGGCTTCGAGTTTGGGCGGCAGTTTATGGCCTAGGCTGGCCTGACCCCTTGCATGTCATCTGTACTGGGCCTGCTCGTCTGAGCTCTGTGCTAGTAGGGCCCCGATAACTGTATTGGGGGCCAGATACAGTAGGGTCCAGTGAAGGAAAAGGTATGAAAGGAAAAGTTGGGCTTTAATTTTTGTGCGTGGACTTATGTCGTTACTCAGGTGGAACTGTGGCACGGAAACAAATTTGAAGCGTCGTTGTCCTTTCGTTCTGCATTTATCATCATTACTAATTTTATTATTATCACTTAAGTTTTTTATTTTTGAATTTTTACCTGTTGGCCTGTCCTTTCGCGGGAAGGTCAACGGTTTGAATTTCGAGCCAGCGATCCACGGCCTAAGTAGGCCGACCTTGCGCATACTCTCTGTGGGTGAGCTCCGAACTGGCGTTGTGTGGTGAGACCCCAAAAGGAGGGCGACCCGCGGCCGCATTGGTAGGAGACTTATCACCCCGAATGGAGGGTCATAGGTCCCCTCTTTGCCATCGGATGCGGACAACCATTAGGAAAGTAGGCGGTATCTAGTTTTAAAAAAAAAAGAGCGCAGGTCGGTATCCCGTTATGGGACCACTGCCTGGAGGTCCCAATTATTATCATGGCAGGATTAAATGACAGGGGCAAGATGTGAAAGGTCTGAGTGTGCAGTGACTAGCGATGTTTAGTTTATCGCTCCACTCTTTTCCTTCATTTTAACTTTAATTTATTTTATTTTATTATCCCCAAGATTCACTGGATATTGATAAGCCAAAACTAAGGCTATCTTGGACTCTTCGCTCAGAGCATGGGGATCGCAGTGTAGTAAAAGCCTATAAAAGAAGGGAAAACTAGGCTACTGGGCGACTTTTAGTCTGAGGGTACTTGCGAACTAGCTGGCTGCATTGGCGCTGCTAGTCAGGGGCCAAAGGCTGGAGTAGTGGAGACAGGCGTTAAGTCATCCGAAGTGCATACTTCTGGGGTCGGAACTCTGGCTATTCAAGATGTGGCTATGGCTTTGCATGGGTATAGACCCTGCTACTGGTACCACCAGATTCGGTGGAAACCCATGTTCGAGGAGGGGCCTTGGATCACGGATATACTTAACTACGACGTGGGAGACGAGATGAGACTGAGGATCAACGTGGAAGGAGGGAAAGAGGTGGAGATGTGGACTAACGAGAAGCTACAGGATGCTATCACTGAGACGAAAGATCGTGTGGAGAGGCGTGGCCAGAGGGACGGCGTGACGACAAAAATGCAAGTAACGATCTCGTATCATGAGACCGAGACCTCCATGGACACGGCGGACCTTGAACAAGCCTATGTGGACAGGGACTCAGGTGGGGAGAGTGAAATGAGTGAAGCAGGGGATCGGGAAATGGACCTCAGATCCGGGAATAGACCAGGCGAGATCCAGAAGCACCACCGGGCGGTGAAGCCTGTGGAAGAGAGACCCGAGGCCAGCTCTCGACAGCTGACGCCCAGAGGCCGCGGGACGAGTGAGAAGCAGGGCAGAGGGAAGAGGCATGTGTGAGGGCACGAGAGAGAGAGAGGGGGGGGAGGCTGCGCGAATGAGCGGGTCGCAACCTTGCTAGATACGGTTGATGTCAACAGCTGCTTCCACGCTCATGAGGGGCGTCTAGTGTCTACCGAGCACTGCAGGTCTTCAAAGGGGCCAATTTTTCGAGACGCGATAGCTGGCTCTTGAGCCGGATACATGTGGGCAGAAAAGTGTCAACGAGAGAGAGAGCCCACGCTGATGAGCAGGGTGCAACTTTGCGAGGTACGGTTGATGTCAACCGTTGTCACCTCGTTCGCGCGTGGCGCCTTGTATCTGCTGAACTGCGGCAAACCTCTTATGCTGTGTTTAACCAGGGGAAAAGGGGGCGCCAAGGTCAACGAGGGAGGAGAGGCGAGAGCTGATCGTACCAGTTGACATCAACTCATGCTTTCGTCGCGAGCGGGTGATTTCGACCCTTTTTGTGCTCAGACAGAGAAAAGATGAGAGAGAGGGCGAGCAGTCACAAAAGAGAGAGAGAGAGGGAGGGTCAGTGTACATGGAGATTTTGTGGAAGAGTTAGGCTGTTGAGTAGTTAAAGAAGAGCAGTAGAGGATAGAGATAATTGACAGTTGAGAGGGAGGAAGAGGAAAAGGTTACTGGAGGCCAATGCGAAAGTGCAAGCTGGGAAGAAGACAGGCGAGGGTAACTCGGGCTAGTACTGGGAGATACCAGGGATTGAGCCACGAGGCGGGTCATATACTGGCTACCCGCGGCGCGGCTCGACGTGTGTGAGGCGATCAGCGAGAAGGATAGATTGGGTGAGGGAAATGGGGCGTGAGCCAGCAAGGTGAGACTGACGTTATCAGCAGCCCCACAATCGTGGGGTGTTTCTTGCGCCTACTGCGGTGATGAAAGGACAGGCGGGAAGATCCTACCAGATTGGGAGGACAACAACCCTCAAGAGAGGGTAATCTGCGATTCATGGAGGGAGTCGCCATTTGACAAGCTCGGCCAAGAACTAGCTGCTGCAGGAGCCTCATTTCTCTGAAGGCGATCTCACTTACCAGCTTGCGTGCTCGCTCTGATAGCCACCTGTCTCACTAACTTCGAGTGACTTTCGAATTTGTAACGGGTATTGCTATCCAAAGTCATTGATGCGCCTCTCTGTAGCTGCCTTGGTCGAACCCTCAGATAAGATGGTGGCCGTTGCAAGATAATTTCTTTTGCTTTATTAATTTTAGTTTCTTTTTTTTATGTTTAGTAAATTAGAAAGATTGATCATTGTTAACCGACCGCATTTCGTCTTGACATGGGGTAAGCCCCCAATAGACTGTGTAAGCGGGTGAACGCGGGAGAAGTCCAGATTCATGGCGACAATTTGAGACGTGCTGGCCGTGAAAAGAATCCTACGTATGGGCTATTAGACTGAGAGAATAAGCAAGGCTGAGGCAGGCGGATAATCTTGGTGTTGGCACTTGTGTACTGGATGTACTCCTCTACTTTTGAGTGTTTTGGTTGATCACTTGTCAAAGTCAAAGAGACATGCTGCCTTTGTATTTCGTGCGTTTAATCCCCACGAAGACGGAGTCTATGAATGTAGTTGGGATACAGACCTTTCCTTTTCGTTCTCTCCCGCACGGGACTGCTCGGGGTTGATTGTGTTATCTGTCACTCCGTGTGACTACATCGTGAGATTGCATCGCGTGAATACACCGAGTGACTACACCGAGTGAGTACACCAAGTGACTGCACCGTGTGTCTGCATCGCGTGACTGCACCGTGTGTTTGCACCGGGGGACTGCACCGTGTGTCTGCATCGCGTGACTGCACCGCGAGTCTGCATTGTGTGCCTGCACCACGTGACTGCACCTCGTGATTGCGTCGGGCGACTGCACGGGTGCGTGAAAGTATAGGTTTGCATGTGCTCACTTGATTGAATGGGTGACTTGATTGAATGGTTACCCATAGTGGTATGAGTTCGTTTTTGTCCTGTGATAAATCGAGTGCGAGACTGTACAAACCTGCAAAAGCCTGTGTGTGTAGACGAATGCCCGACTGAATGCACTTGTTGGCTTAATGATTATAAGCAGGCATTTGATCGAATATACAGGTTTATTTTCGGGCTCACTGGGTGGGCTTGTATGTCAAACGGGAATGTAGAGATGATTTCCATTGACTGTGTTCAGTGCCTTGACTTTTGATTAGATGGGGAAAGGAAAGACAGCATTGAGGAAAATCTCTTATGTTCTTGCTAAGTTCCTACTTGATGGTGACTAGGTGTCTATTATGCAAAGTTGGGGCAAGACCCAATCTCGAAAGCCTGTGTTTCCCATTACGGTGAACGGGGTTTTTTATTACATTGTGAAAGAGCGCTACGTACGCCCCCACTTGTTCCTATTCTCGAGGGACTTGCCTTCAATTGACTCTTGAGTAATCAGTGGTAGTGTGAACACTAGAGCATTTCTTTTTCCCAGAGGATTTGCTCCTGTCTGTTTCCACTGAACTTGAGTACGGGCTGGTCAGGTACCAGAAAACGTGAGGTCTAGGTGAAAGACCCAGTCTGGCCTTTGGTTAGGATGGCGTAATGATTATGGTCTGCCTATAGAAACGGGGGAGTGAGTTATATTGAGGACAAAAAATTGAGCCTTGGTATCCTGGTTGAATACCACGCGGCGTATGAGTGGCTGAGTTGGTTGGGCCTAATCTCATTTGGATTCACTATGCTGAATGCATGAACCTATTCCTGAAGCTCAGAGTCTCCATTGCCAGGCTAAAGTTCCGAGCAGACGGGCCTTTACCCGAGTTTCGAAATCCTTAGACTCTGTATGTGAAATGTCTAAAGCAAGGAGCTGCAGACTGTACTACTGCACTGAAAGAACTAAGATACGGGTTTGAACGGAGTCTCGAAACCACGGTCCATCATACCCTGAACACACAGTATTCCTGACCAAGCAAAGCGAAGGGGACACATGCACTCATGCCTCTAGTGTGATTATGCCTTTTGAGATAAAGTTTACTGATGAGGTAGCCTCGACCCTTGTGCACAGTTACTGAAATGAGCTCTGAGTTTTGCTTGCCGCCTGGTGACCAGTGATGAGAAAATAACAGTATGATATCCTCAAACCAAGTTAGTTAATTCAAGCCGAATGGAAATAGAGTTCTGATACCAAGCTTAACCCACGCCTCTTTGGGTACAGAGTCCAGCACAACTGTCTTCAACCTGGATCGTTTGTCATTTAGGATCCAGTAAAGTGGCAGGAAAATATGGGAAAAGACGAAATTTTAGTAGTGAAAAGTAGCTTAGTCAGGGACAAGAAAGAGGAATGGGAGGAGGATGCGTGTCGTAATATGGAGTTAAATAGGCGGCATCTGCGA